AATGTCTCTAACATGTGTCTCTGTCTCTAACATGTGTCTCTGTCTCTAACATGTTTCTCTAATGTCTCTAACATGTGTCTCTGTCTCTAACATGTTTCTCTAATGTCTCTAACATGTGTCTCTAATGTCTCTAACATGTGTCTCTGTCTCTAACATGTGTCTCATCATGTCTCTAACATGTGTGTAGACACATGTTAGAGACATGATGAGATGAAGAAGTCACAGAAAGTGTTTTACCTGTTCACAGCCTCAGAGAGAAGAAGCATCAGAAAGTTTCCAGTTTCAGCTCCGTCTCATCTTCCTCCTCTTCCTCCTCTTCCTCCTGCTCCTCCTGCTCCTCCTGCTCCTCCTGTGGCTGCCGGAGCCTCTGCAGCCAGCAGCCGCCTCTCACGCCTTTATAGCGGGGGAAGCCTCACACACACACCGGGGGAGGAGGAGGAGACACGGAGAGAGGCAGCGGGCTGCAGCGCCCCCTGCAGGCCGAGCACAGGGAGCACAGGCCGGAGGAGGGGCACATCGACGGAGAAACACGAAGACATCCGGAGAAACATCCGGAGAAACACGAAGACATCCGGAGAAACATCCGGAGAAACACGAAGACATCCGGAGAAACATCCGGAGAAACACGAAGACATCCGGAGAAACACGAAGGAGACAGTTTCTGTGAAATCACCTGAACAAAGACAAACATTAGAACCGGATGTAGAAAAAGGCCAATTTACTGTCATTTATTTTGAAAACCATGGTTTATTTTTTTAAAGAAAGCAGATTCTGAATATTTGACCTCAAAGTAAAACCACAGCAGGATTCAGATTCACACTTAAACATTCAAATAAAAATAAAACGGGACCAACTGTGATGAGCTGTCGGAACAACTTTAATTTGAAAAGCTGAAACCGGAAGTAAGGGAGAGAGCGAGAGAAAGTCGTTAAATGCGGAAGTTTGAAGAAGTTTGTTTCCTCAGTTTCAGTGAACAAGTTTGATGAGACACGAGGAGACGAGTGTGAACTCTGTTTTCTGATCTCACGGTGAGTTCAACAGCTTTTATTTTATTTCATGTCACTTCCGCTCCGCTGAGTTTTCATGAACCTTTGAAGTTTCTGAGCAAAAAGATCAAACGCTTTGAATTCTGATCTACAATTGAACTGTTTCCTAAAAAAATCTCTTTTTATCATTTAACACGAACACATGGGAATTAATATGATGACGGTGATTCTACATCTGTCCTTCACACACACACACACACAC